GAGAAGTCCTTCCGTCCCCCTCCGCGGCTCCTGTCCCTGGTGGCCAAGGGCACAGCAGATCCACATCTTCCGAAAGTGACTCAGGGGAACAGCGTGCTCTTCCTGGGGCAGGCACCCATCCCCACGCACATGCTGGCAGGAAGCGGCGCCAGCCACAGACGGGGAGTCACGGGAGGCGAGGGCCTGGCAGAAGGTCCCAGCTCATTAATGCTACCTCAGAGGGTACAGGAGACCACATCAGCAGTAATATTTTTAGACCGATTGTTAACTTTCTCCACTTTCACCCTTCTATGCCAGCTCCTGTGGGTTTCACCGCTGAGTCACTGCTGGAATTTTCTGAAGCCTTGCCCAAGAGGACAAAGGCACCCGAGCCGGGTGGCAGCGAGAGCCTCGCACCGGACGGAGGCCTGTGTGGAAGACACTGTCTGAGCGAGAGCTCAGTTTGGGAGACGTGGCCCAGACACACAGGTGCCATTACATAACGGGAACTAGTACTCCTGCCCTGAGATAGAAGGCCGCGTACCTGGAACCCTCCCTCCTGCTCCCAACCTTTGGTTCTAGGCTGTTTGTCCAACATCACCCTGAAGGCACAGGTAGGAAGTGGAGGGCAGCACTCAGTGCAGACCCCAGTTTTCAACTCTTCACCCACCCAACTCCGGGCAAGCTCTGAGTCTACCTCGCGCCACTGGCTCTGGGTCCCAGGTTCTGACATTGCCTTCCCTGACCTCGATCCCTGGAGTAGTCTCATTGACTGTCCTTGCAGCCGCCCACCTCGCCTAGGAGGGACCCACTGTCACACGGCTTCCCAGGAAGCCCTCCCCTCCCCACAGACCACCTGTCCATCCAGCTGATCAACACACACATAGGAGGCAGAAGATGGGAGAGACCTTGTAGTGCAAAAATGCAGTGTCAGGCCTGCTACTCATCACTCAGTAAATACTTACCACAGAGCCATGACCGGGCACCGTGCTACGTGCTGGGAATACAGCGGTGGAGGGCTGAATGGCCCGGGCAGACTGCAGGAGACCTTGGACCCGATGTCCATGCCACACACAGCCCCATTCTGGACGCTGCCTGAGAGGCTGTTTGGAAGTACAGCAGCAGCACAAGCGAAACGCAGAGGCCGCCCCTCCCAGCCCAGGCCTTCAAGCCTGCACACCCGTGGGGAGCAGCACAGCAGAGCACCCTGGTCAGCAGCCGGGCAGAGACCAGAGCGTGCACAGGCCCGTCCCCCAGGGACCTCCACAGAGAGGGAAAGAACCGGGACAGGCCCCTGGCATTGCTACCTGGGCACCTGGTCTGCCCAGGCTGCTGCACAGGTATCACTATGAGCCCTTGTTTCCCAGGTAGATGCTCAGTCACCCCACTGTCTGCCGAGTTATGCCACATGGGGGAGTCACCGGGGGAAGGCAGGAAGAGAGCCATCGGGTAGCACAGGGGATGAGCTGAGCCCTGCCTGTCGCCTGCCCTGGCCTCCAGGGACTTCAGCAAGGCCACACCTTGCCTCTGGCTCAGGAGCCCCCGCGCTGTCCACGGAGATACCCTAACCTAAGTGGTCCTGCCCAGCATGTGAGGGTTCTGCACGTGGGAACACAGGTGTAGCCGAGCAGAAGAGGTTTGGAACCACAGAGCCTGGGCTGAATTCTGGCAGCTGTCGCCTCTAGCCTTTGGCAACGTCTGTGGGCCTACGTCCTCATCTTTCCGACAGGAACGGTATCAGTACCCAATTCCCAGGGCCCTGAGGACTAAAGTCAGGTGATGCACTCAGTGCAGGATGCAGTCGGTAATGCTGGCTGGTCATTAGCCACTGTCCCCCATCCCAGGACACCGAGTGTGGCTTTCACAGGGCAGCACCGTCTAGAAGGAAGGGACCCGTCCAAAGCGCCATGTGCCAAACAACAGTGGCCTTGAAGGCATGACTCTCAAAAGCAGACTCCACCCCAGGGTCTTCCCACGGGCCTGCGAGGCGGGTGACACCCACGTGGCAGAAGGTCCCACCCTAGAGAAAGGCCCAGGTCCCGTCTCAGGCTAAGACCCACTGAAAGGTGTCCCGATGCAAAACCCCCACTGCAGCAACCACCAAGCTGCAGGTGGCACACTGTCCCATCTGTCTTGCTTTAGCAGTCATGGGGATTTTTATGGGCAACCGTTTTATTCACTGACATTACCTCCAGTGCCCAACACAGTGCCTGGCACACAGCAAGTGCTCCACGTTGGTTGAATAAACTTAGTCAAGATTTCCCAGTCGCGAGTTCTGCTACCTCCAACCCTGCTGCCCTCACATGTGAAGCTACAGCTGCCTGGGGCCACACGCCACCCCGCAGAGCCCGAGGAGGAAGTCTACGCAGAGAGAGCAGGTACCAGAGAGGATGACTCCAGACTGTCCAGAGCCCCCGAAGGAGAGGAGCTGCTGGTCTTCAGGCGGAGGCGTGTGGGCACTGGAGTGGGCTGCGTGTTCCTGCACTGCTGGCAAGGGCGCCGCTGCAGCTGGCGGTGGGAGGGCCGCATCCCACGGCAGGAGGCGGCACCCTCCTGTGGGCTTCCCAGGAGGCCGGGAACACGGAAGAGACGACATGGCCATCCCCACAGCTCCACAACGCAGGGACAACATGGGGACCAGGGACGGGTGTGTCTCCACCGTCAGGGAGAAAGGCATGGGCATGCAAACCCTGCCCATAGCCAGACCGCAGCCCTGAACCCCCTCCCCCATCCCTGTGAATGCAAGGGCCACACTGCAGTCCCTCCCTGATCCACAAAATCATGTATGTTTATCACTGAAGTGTGTGTGGTGGAAGAAGTAAACCCATCCCCACTTCAGAGGCAGCGGCAGCACAGGCTGCTGGGGGTGGGAAAGCTGGGAGTGAAGGCTGGACCAAGCTATTCTTTATTGAAGAATAGTTGACACACATATTAGGTCAGCTTCAGGTGTATAATGTAGTGATTCGACATTCACATACCTTAAGACATATGCCTTCTATACCTTGGTAAGTCTAGTAGCCATCTGTCTCCATGCAGTTATTACAATAATATTGCCTCTCTTCCCCGGGCTGCACATTACATCTCTGTGACTTATTCATTTTATAACTGGAGGTCTGTACCTCTTATTCCCCTTCACCTTTTTCACCCATGTCCCAGCCCCCACCCCTGCAACCTTCAGTGTGTTCTCTGTATCTCTGAGTCGGTTTCTGTTTTGTGTTTTAGGATCCACATACATATAAGAGGGATCATACGGTATATTTGTCTTTCTCTGTCTGACTTATTTCACTGAGCATAATTCTCTCTGAGTCCATCCATGTGGTTGCAAATGGCAGGATTTCACTCTTTTTTTATATTGCTGAGTAATAACCCAAGCTATTTTTTACAGCCCAATTTCACAGTCACTTTCAGGCCGAGCTCTCCCAGGCCCGCGATGGCCCTCCTGCACGTCTATGTGCTGTGATTAGATTTCAGGAGGACCCTTGTAGTGGAGAGAAACCGGAGCCAAGGAAGGGCCACACCCCAACCTGACTCAGTGAAAGACAGAGCCCTGGTGAGACTCTGACCACCACAGACAGGTGGCCACTTCCTGGGAGCGCTTCCATCTTTTGCTCAGATACCGGGGAGCAGAGCACAAGGTCAGCTTGTGGGCCACCCAGGTTGGCTTCAGAGTACCACACACACACAAGCAGCTTCCCCGACCTCCAAGCCAAGATCTGCAAGCACAGAACCAGTGACACCCCACTTCCTTGCCCAGGGTAAGAGGGCCATCACCAGCCTTTCTGGAAAGCCCGAGCCAGCTGAAGGCCAGTACTTCAAGAAATTCTACCTTGACCCAGAGGTAGCCACTTAAGGCAAAGCTCTTCCCCACCCACACCAAATTAAAAACAAAAAACCCAGCCCCCAACCCAGTGGGCTTTTACTGAAGTAAGTGAGCATTATAATGCCAGCAGATGCAACAGTACCAAGCCCTGCAAAGTATACTAAGAAAAGAGCTGCACCAAATAGGGTGGAGGCCGGAGAATCGACAAGACAGTACCTGGCTGCCATGGCGGCCAGTGTCGGGGCAGGGAGGTGGGAGGCTGGCAGCTCAGTGACTCCCTGGGCACCAACACAAATGGCTGCCCCTCTCCCCCCTTGTAAAGTAGCTGCTGCCAGTATTCTTGTTATTGGGGCACAATTCACATAAAGCCAAATACGTAGATTTTAAGTATACCTACAGCATTTAAGTTCACATTTCTTCCTGAATACTCCAAGACCTGCATCTGGCCAGCCCTCCCCCTTGTATCACCAGAGGGAAATAAATGGGCAACGGGAAGGTCTGAGCAGAAGCTGTTCCAAGGTGGCCAAGAAGCCCCTTCATTCTGTCCCCAGTGACTCCCTGCAAGTGACAGAGGGTCTTAAAGGGGCGTGGCCCTTCCTTCATCCACTTGGTTCCCCTTCATACAAAGAGCCTCCACACCCAGTTACTCCACCCTGCTTACCCTGCCGACCCCCTTCCGGGATCAGTGCTCTTAACCTATGCAAAGCCAACCCCAATATCCCGGGATCACCCAGCCTCGCTTGCCAGCTTGCCGTCTCAGGGGACCACCCACCCTGCAGAGAGCTCCCTGGCCCTCAAAGGCACCGAGAAACAGAAGCCAGACCTCCAGTAATCAGCCCTGAAGTCCCCTCCCCCGCCCAAAAATGTTTTGCTTCATCATCTCTACGACAGGCCTGGGCACCAGGGGGTTTGTCTGGGTCTTCTCTGCATGAGGCTGACGCCTTGGGAACCTTTCTCAGGGCCACTCAGGTGCAGACAAACAACTCCAGGGAGTCTGTCAGGTGAGTGAGGAGCTGTGCCTGCCTTTACGAGCAACCATCTGTCCTGCACACTCACGGCCAGCATTTCCATCTCTTGCAAAACAGCTCCATGCTGTGCGTGTGTGGTGGGGGATGCAGAGGGGAACGAACAACTGTTGCTGCGGGCATCTCCGCTCGCCACCCGGGCACCCCTCCCCCGCCGGCTCATTCCTGGCACTCACCGGAGTGTGTGCTGCTCTGGGCTGAGGAATCTGCGTCCTGGGTGCTCCAGGGTCGGTCCCAGCCTGTGAGGCTGAGGGACTGCAGGCCAAGGCACAAGTCATTAGCATCTGGGAGGCCCCGGGGAGAATCTTGCGCAGAGGTGGGGAAAAGCATCCTGCTTGTGACTGCGTCTTCAGAGTCCGGGAAGTCTGCTTCGGACAGGAGGACAGCAAAACCCCAGAGTTAAGGGCTGTTTGCCCCAGGATTATCGGCAATAAATATCAATAATAATAGTTTCCCCAAGCTTAAGGACCAGACATCCACGCAGGCTGGATGCTGCAGCTGCTGCCTCTGCACTTTTGGGGGCGTTAGAGCAAAAGCAGTGGCCATACAGCCCCCTCCCCACACACACACCCCTATCCCGTCTGCATTACAGGCTGGGCCAGCATGTGACCAGGCTGCTGATGCTTCCCGCTGCCAGTGACATCAGCCGGCTGAGCGTGCAATAGAGAACGGCACCATCCCTCACAGAGCGGGGAGGAGCAGGAGGGGACGGCAGGGAGGAGACTTGCCTCCCAGGGAAAAGGCAGCACAACAGCTACTTGGAACCGCCGGGTGTGGTGCGGTGCCGTTAAGTCAGGGTCTCCAGCAATGGTGGCCAGCGGCCCTCGGGTAAGACTGAAGTCCTCACTGCCGAAGCTGCGACTGCTGGCTTGTGTAGCGCTGCCCTCCTGCCCCTCCCGTTTCTTCCCTCTGCTCTCCACCCCCAAACCCAAAAACACTCTAGTCCTGGACTCCCTCCAGCTGCTTGCTCAAGCCCTGGTTTTGCAGCCGAACGCAAAGCTCCGAGATCTTGCTGGCAAAAGTCTATGTGCTGCAAGTAGCCCCGGGCAGCACCCTGACACAGCAGGGCTGCCACTGAGGAAGGGGAACCTTCAGGGAAACACTGCACACGTGCACCCAGCACCACCACCTGGTGCTCCTGGCGTGTCTACAGCAGCCGATCACAGTGTGGGCAGTGGGAGGGGGAGTCACTGGGCTGCTGGAGGTATGGCCCACAGCCCACATGCCACGGCCAGTAAGATCTGCCCTGACTAGAATAATCCGGTCCCGGGTCCCCTCACCCCAAAAGGGTGGGGACTGCCATGAGCACGTATTATCAGGTCCAGTGCCTCCCTCAATCCCCTAACCATAGGCCTAGGTAGACCTAACACTCCCCAGTGTCTGACATGCCAGAACACGAGAAACAGGCTCAGAAGTGGTCTAACACCCACAATGCCCGCTTCAGCACCTTGCATCACCCGCTCTGCCAGGAGCCTCAGAGCCGTCTGCCAGCTGTGAGCATCACTGAGGCCGCCAGCTGCCTGCGTCCCCTCTCATCAGGGTGCCGCTAGGACCAAGGCCCTACTCCTGTGACCACTCAGCTCCAGCAACAGAGGCCGGCTCTGCTCAGAGCTTCTGGGACCTCCGCCACCTCGTCCTCACCAACGTCCTCTCTGCATCAGTCTTTTTCCAACGTGACCCTCAGAAAGGAGGGAGACAGGCAGGCTGCACACCCCCAACCCAGGCTGGGAGCACCCACCCTGCTGTGCCCCCACGTGGCAGAAGTAACCAGACATGGGAAACAGGCCAACCTGGGACCGCCCGCCTGCCTGCCTGTGACAGGGTCTGAGGTGGGCAGAGAGGCACAATGCTGTCAGCCACAGGAATGCTGGCCAGCGTGTGTCCACAGGCACCAACCTCAGCCGCAGGGGAATGGCCCGTCTGTGTGAGGGACTCCTCCCTGCTGCTGTGTCATCCATCCCTATCCCTGCCTGGCTCCGTGTCGATGCCTGTCAAGGCCTTGGTCCAGCACTGCACAGGCTGGTGCTGCGCCACCCAACCTGCTCTGCTCTCCACGGCCACTCCACCCCCAAGCTAAGGATACACTTTTTAAAACCATCTGTGAGTGTTAATTACAAGACATAATGCTTTCTTTAAAAACATCCACATTTAAGTACCCATTCCTCCCTAACCCAGCTATCTGTATAGTCCCTCCCTTCCACCCAATGTGAAGGTATTTATGTCCAGAAGCCACTGGTCCCCGCTCCCCCTAAAACCAGGGCATCTGTGCATATGGTGACCCGGACCCAAGGTGGGGAGTCTAATCACCGACTATTCTCTTGCTGCCCAAAGTCTAGGTGGTGGAGCAGCAGTTCCAGGGTCACCGGGAGCCTGTTGTAAACACAGAACCTCAGGCCCCACCTGAGATCAGTGGAATTTATCCGCATTCCAACAGATTCCCATGTGGAATGTGTGCACACGTCGTCTGAGCATTACTGACCTACACAACCCACGCCAGCTTCCCACCCAACTGGAGCCCCAGGCCGCAGGGCAGGCCTGAAGGATGCTGGGAACTGGCTGCCTCACGCACCCAGGAGCTTGTGGGTCTAGGTTCACACCCCTCTGCCTTCACTGCGGCACCCCACCGCAGACGCCAGCTTTGTCGCGTCCTTCTCCCTCACACCGCTTCTTCCACACAAAGGATGCCCCTTCACTACGTCCTAAAATCAAGAGGCGGGAAAAGGAACTCGCTTTCTAAGTCTGACAGACCTTGCTTTGCTCCCAGGTCTGCGCTATGTGAGCTCAGTCAAGTCACTTAGCCTCTCTGAGCATCTTATCTGCAAAGCAGCCACAGCAGCCACCTTCAGGCATTCCGTGAGGCCTGCACGCAGCACTCGGTACGGTGGCTGTCACTAACATTTGTGTCAGTATCTTACTTTCAGTAGGGTGACCGTATAATTTACCACCCGAACCAAAACACTTTTGAGAGAAGAGGGGCAAACATTAATACTCATGGCAGGACAACAGATTACACCGACGGTCCTGGATGAAAAGCAGGCTTGATCGCTCTGCAGCCATTTGTGGCCTGAAATATTTTACTCAAAAACCTCCTTCCAATGCCTTGCTGATCCTGTCTTTCCAAACTTACCCGTTCTGCTCCACTGGGACCAAGGGTGAGGAGTAAACTGTCAGCACAGGCTAACAGGCAGTGTGGTCAAAGGTCGGAAAGCAAAAGGCTGATTTTACTGAGCAGAAGCCCGGCTTTGCCTCTTAAACTCATATCTGATGCTGGGCAGGAACGTGGCCCTTTTCCTGGAGAATATTCTTTATCATCTTTTGCCGTGTACCAACTAGACACGCAAAGCTATCTCAATGACCAGCACAAGACAGAGTTGTGATTCTCAGTCTAAGGCAGTGGTTCTCAACCAGTTGTGACCCCTTTGGGGGTCAAATGACCCTTTCACAGGGGCTGCCTAAGCCCATCAGGAAACACATATATAATTACATATTGTTTACAGTAGCAAAATTACAGTTATGAAGTAGCAACGAAAACAATTTTATGGTTGGGGGTCACCACAACATGAGGAACTGTATTAAAGGGTCGCAGCATTAGGAAGGTTGAGAACCACTGGTCTAAGGCAATCTACCTGAACAATGTCTCAGGACGAATGCTGTCTCCTGTAAGGCTCTTTTATCAATACCTGCACGGAGTCTGTGACTTAAGTTCCTTAATTTGGTGAGCTGGGGGCTCTGGCTCCAGGGCTCAGAGTGGCGATGCCTCCACCCTGACCTTCATAAGACCCTGTCTGTCCTCTGATGGCCCCTGCTGCTAGCAAACTCGGCACACATTTGCTCAGGGTCCCCTGCAACCATCATTTTTAAGCATCTGACGAAGAGGGGAAGTTAGACAAGAGAACAGGGCCTTTAGGCCCCACCTGTGAAACCATGAGGGCAGACTCCATTGTAAAAGGCAGGTGGTAACTGCAAGAAGTCAGGAGGACCCGGGAGAGCTGAGGAGATGTGTCATGAGCTGGTCGTAGGGAACGAGAGATCCAGTTCTGAGGAGGTATCAGAGGAGACGGTAAGCCAGGTGTGTCTGGGCCAGCTGAGCCGGGAAGAGTCTGATGCCGGGCAGGCAGCGAGGAAGCTCTGTAAACTCTTGGACAGGAAATAATGTGGTAGAGGCCCTCTGTGAAGCAGAGATCAGGGCAGGGAGGCCAAGGATGAGCAGGCACATCTGGGAGAGGTGGGGAGCTACCCCTTATACATGGTTATAACTGGGTGGAAGTTCTGTGTGTTGATGGACAACGTTGATAAAAGACAGAAAAATGCAGCTACTGTGTGCGAGTAGCAGGCTCTAATAGACTTATTTTCCTTTAGTTACTGCACAAACACCACCATACAAAATAAAATCTGTCCTCTGCTTTTTTACCTTTTTATATTTTAGTTTTGTTTTTGTTTACCTTTTTATATTTTAAACACACGCATTGTTGTAGTTTGTACAGCAAACACACTTGAGCTCTTTTACAAAATCTCAACCTCACCCCAAATTCCAGTCCCTGGGAACAGCAGAGATAGGACACATGGGCCATGCGTCCCCATTAGATTTGTTCAAATGACTGACTTTACAATCAGCTCCGACTATTAAAGTTTTAACAAGTCCATAAAATAGCATTTCTAAGACTATTTCTAAACAGACTCTTCTCCCCCACCACCCGG